GGGAAAGCATTCCAGGCATTGGAGACAGCCAGCAAAAAGGTATAAAGCTGGGAGATTGAGTGTCTTGTGAAAGGAACAAAAGGGTCAATGACCCTAGATCATAGATTACATAAAGGGAAGTAAAGCATAAGAAGACTTAAAAAGTAGGAAGAGATTGTAAAGAACTTTAAAAGCCAAATGGAAGAAAGGGAAGGGAAGAAGCATTTATTAAGTATCTACTATATACAAAGCACTTTACTGAATGCTTTACATATATTATCTTATTTGATCCTCAACAACCCTGGAAGTTGGGTGCTGTTATTATCCCCATTTACATTTGAGGAAACTGAGGCAAATAGAAGTTAAGTGACTTGCCCAGAGTCACACAGCTAGCCAGTGTCTGAGGCCAGATTTGGACTCAGGTCTTCCTGACTCCAGACCCAGTGCTCTGTCCAGTGAGCCAGCTAACTGCTTTACATATAAGATTTTCACCTGTTCCTCAAGACAATTGAGAGCCACTGGAGTTTGTTGAGTAGGGGGTAACATTGTCAGATACGTGGTTAGGGAAGACAATTAAGCTCAGGATGGACTGAAGTGAGGAGAGACTTCAGTCAGGAAGACGAACCAGGAGGTTATAATCCAGGTGTGAAGTGATGAGGGTCTGCACCAGAGTGGTGAATGCGTCAGAGAAAATAAGGGGTCCTGTATAAGAGATATTGTAAAGGCAGAAATAACTAGACCTGGCAACAGATTGGCTATGTGAGGTGACTGAGGGTAAGATATCAAGGATGATGTATAGGTTGTGAGTCTGTGTGATTGGGGGGTAGTGCCCACAACATTAACAAAGAAGTCAGAAAGATGGAAGGGTTTGGAGGGAAAGATAATGAGCTCAGCTGTGGACATGTTGAATTTAAGATGTCTACAGGGCATCCTGTTTGATACATTTCCTATGCAATTGGAGATCAAGAGAGAGGTAAGGGCTAGATAAATAGATCTGGGGATCATTTGCATGGAGATGATCATTGAATCCAAGAGAGCTACTGAGATCACTGAGCAAGATGGTATAGAAGAAGAGGACCCAGGACAAACCGCTGGGGGATGCCCAGGGTTAATGGATATAACCTCATTGAAGATCCAGCAAAGGAGAATAAGAAGGAGCCATCAGAGAGGTAGAAATCAGTGAGATCATATTATCATAAGATCATTGATTGAAAGAGACCTCAACCTCTGCTGTTATTGCTGTTGTTGTTATTGTTGTTGTTGTAACAATTAGAGCTGCCCCAATGCAGAATGGGCTGCTTCGGCAAGCAGTAAGCTCTCTATTCCTGGAGATCTTCAAGTAGAAATCGGTTGACTATTGATTTGGGAATTTGTGTTCAGGTAAGGGTTGAACTGAATCCCCTCTGAGATCTCTTCCAACTCTGAGATTTGTCAATTACTATTATTATTCTCTCAGCTCAGTAAACATGCTGCAGAGAGGCTGCTGACTTTGGAGTCAGGACCTGTGTTCAAATCCCAGCTCTCCCACTTACTATGTGACTATGTTGAAATCTTTTGGCTTCTCTTAACCCCAGTTTCTTAATCAGTAAAACATGAAATGGCTGGAGTAAATTATTTCAGAGGTCCCCTCCAGCCCTAAATGCTGTGACCCTATGATATTCATCTGTAAAATGAATGGATTGGATAGATAGTCTCTAGGGGTCCTTTCCAACTGCAAGATGCAATAATTCTATAAGATTAGCATTCACAAAAGGGTGAGCTAACTAAATCAATCAAGTATTTGTATCCACATTGGTAGAAAGTTTTACAGTTTAGAAAACCCTTTTCTTTACAACTTTGTGAGATGAATAATGCAAGTGTTATTTCCCCATTTTACATATGAGGAAAACAGACTTAGAAAGGTTAAGTTTCTTGCCTATTTTCATGTATCTAGTAAATGTTGAAGTTGCTACTCAATTCCAGGTCTCTTGGTTGCAAATCTAATGTTCTTTCCATCACATCAAACAAAGCAATGCTTTGCCCAGTATTTTCCTTTGATAAGGGATTAAGTACCTAAGAAATCTGAAAATGGCATGTACTCATGTTATGTGCCTCCTCCTCCTCCAACAATAACAACAACAACAACAACAATAATAATAACTAATATTTACAGTGTTTAAAGGTTGTGAAGTCTCTTAACTTCCCTTATCTTACACAGCCATCATAGATATTATGAGTATTATTATCTCCATTTGACAGATGAAAAAACTAAGTCACAAAGAATCTCTTTGACTTGCCCAGGATCATGCAGCTTGTAAATAAGTTTCAGGGGCAGAATTTGAACTCAGGTCTTCCTAAGTCCAACACTATCCACTACTTCTCACTGCTTCTACCCACCCAGGCATATGATACAAAGGGAAGAAATACACTCTTCCTATCTTCTCTTTTTCCGGACCCTGCCAATCATCCTCACCCTGGAGAAGAACAAATCCGCTTCCTGCCAGACCCAACCTGCCTCCTGTTCCTCTCAGATGCTCACTGCCATCATCTTCCACTCACCACCATCCAATTCCACTTCAGCAAGCAAGTCAACCAATCAATCAACAAACATTTATTAAGTACCTACTGTGAGCCTATCAATGTGTCAGGTGCTAGTGACACAGAATACTACAACAATCCCTGTCCTGGAGATTACATTCTACTGGGTGAAACACAAATGCCAAAGGTGTATAGTTAAGTCATTTCAAGCCACTTTCCTAGTGGACTTTTACTGAACAAAAAAGCAATATTTATGTCACTTGGATGTTTCTGAGAAGAATTAGCTGTTTATGAAAAACAAAATGGAGCCAGGGAAAGATATAATCTAGCCTCTTTTTCTTCTTCCCTTTCTCATTCTCTCCCTCTGTTCCTTTCTCTTTCCCCCTCTTTTTCTTTGTCTCTCTGTTTCATTCTCTCTCCCTTTATTTCTCTGTCTCTCATTCTCTTTCTCTTTCTCTCCCTCTCTCTCCTTCTCTCTCTCTTCCTCCACCTCTCTTCTTTCACTCTTTTTCTCTCTTCTCTCCCCTTCCCCTTATACACATATAGGACATGATACAGTGGAAAACATACTGGCTTTGGAATTAGATGACCTAGGTTTGAAACCTGACAGCTTCCTACTACTTCTATAACTTTGGACAAGTCACTTGACTTCTCTGGGCCTCAGTTTCCTCACCTGTAAAATGGGAGGGGTGGAGTAGGCATCCTGTAACATCCCTTCCAGCCCTAGATCTATGATCCCATATAGTTAACCTGTGAAAATGCTTGATTGTCCTTCCTTTACTGTCTAGTGCTCCTCTGACAAGGCAGTATCCCCTGACTTCCTAATTCTCAGAAGGGTCACAAGGTGGTATCCTCAGGTTTTCCTCTCTCTAGGTGGCATTGGTGAAACACTTTCTGTTCAAAGTGCTTTGATGTCCATTCTCTTATTTCCTTTTTATGACAACCATCTGACATGGGCATTTTAAGGATCATGATCACCACTTTCCAAATGAGGAAACTCAGGTTCAGAGACATGAAGTGATCTGCCTAATGTCACATAGCTAAGAAATGAGGGAGCTGGAACTCGAACCCAGGTCTTTTGATTCTTCCCACTATACCACTATAATGGAAAGAGCACTGAACAAGTCTTTAGACTTGGGTTCAAATCTTGTTTCAAACAGTTACTATCTGTGTGACTGTGGCAAATCTCTTCACTAGTGTAAATTTCAGTTTCCATATCTATAAAATGAGGACGATAATATCCATGCTATCTACCTCATGAGGTGTTGTTAGGAAGAAAGTACTTTGAGAGACTTAAGGCAGTCTATGGATGTGAATTACCAGACCACCTCTAATAAACATCTGACTTTCCCTAGACCTGCCTTAATTCCTGCTGTACCCTGAACCTATGGGCCTGTGGGCCTGGGCTAATTTGCATGGCTGATATAAATGGTAATGGTTAATCAAGAATCTATTTAGCTTGTGTTTAATAAGAAATGTTTCCCCTTGCTCTTGTTACTAGTTACTGAAGATGTCTCTGTGTGAATGAAAACTTTGTCCCTTGCCATCTGGATACTGTTGATATGTCTCAGTTCAGTCATGAACCGGGTGATATCAGTGGTTTCCATGTCAACAGATTACAGTATCTTATGTAGAAATGTGTGACTGTATTGCACCAAGAAGAAGGCAGCCTCTGAAGGGGGAAAGCTCCAGTTTCACTCTGAAAAATCTTAGCTGATTTTCAGTAATTGTGTTGGAAATATTTCAGTTTTGTTCCAATTATATCTGCAGGGAGAACTGCAGTTTCAATGTTTGGGGTCATTTGGGAATGGGACAATAGGCTTGTTGATAGCTCCATTTTCATTCTGTTGGGAGGACTTTTCCCCAAAGAGGATACATTAACATCTAAAACCAATGGAAATAAGTTTATTCTCTGAATGATGGAGATTTACCATGTGTACCTAATGGGTGACTATCTCAGAGCTCTTCAGGCCCCAACAGCTATGTCATAGATGTGTAATTATATTTATGAAAAATGTTTGGATAATGAATCCTGGCTAAGGATAGCAATAGCAACTATAGCCTAAAGTTAAGAGTCATTGGGATAATTTCTTAAGAAACAAACAAAAAAAACCTGGTACTGTGAGGAGAGGACTAGATTTCGAGCAGTAATACCTAGCTCTGCTACCTACTATCTATATGATCTTAGCCAAGTGACTTAATCTATCTGGGCCTCAGTTTCCTAATCTGTAAAATGAAGGAGGTTGGGCTATATGATCTTCTAAGCCCTTTGAGTGCTAAATCTTAATCTGTGATCCATAAACTTCAAGTTACCAGGGTCTCAAACGTTCCCTAAAGAGGTGTAGTGGGAGATGGATTTTAATCATCTATTTCTAAGAATTCATCATTCTGATGACCAGAACAGACCACAGCAGATAGTGTGTAACTAACTACACACATGAAATACTTCTTAATACAAACTCAGGAACTTGAGCTGATCTCAGCTGTCTGCTTTTCTTTTATAGATAAAGAATGCCGCAGCGAATGTCCTTCGAGAAACATGGCTTATCTATAAACACACCAAGCTGCTCAAAAAGATTGACCATGCCAAAGTCCGGAAACACCAGAGGAAGTTCCTCCAAGCTATCCACCAGTAAGTAGAGCCAAGCCCAACATAACTTCCCATGGTCTTCATGAGGCCTCGAGAAAGTGGCCTGGGAGGTGGTGGAAAAGAGAGGCCCGTGACAGTTTCCACCTTAGATCTACTGGTGTTCTCCTTGGTAGACCCAAAGAGAGAGAGAGGAGAGAGAGATAAAAGAAGACATGTCCTTTCCTTGGACCTTGCCAAGTCTATGATTCAGGTTGTGTTCACATTAACCATGCTAGGTTTCAAAATCAGAGAGGGTAATTTGGTCAAGAAACTGAAGCCAAAGGAGTGAGGTGATCTCTTAACATCTTAGCATGAAGGCCAAGATGAGATCGTTGCCATCTTTCTCCCACAGGCTGAGAAGCGTAAAGATGGAACAGAGAAAGCTGAGTGATCAAGCCAACACCCTGGTAGACCTTTCCAAGGTGAGTGGGTGAATCTGAAGCCACCCTCAAGAGACTTCAGATTCTTCCATTTAGATTGTTTGTTTTAAGGGTGGCTGGGAATACCTGGATAAGATAATGCCCCACAAAACTTTACACTAGGAAGCCAGAGAAAGATTCCTACTAGGATCCATACTCCTCCCCCCCCCCCAAAAACCCATATATACACAAAACCACACACACACACACACAAAAACAGCCTTAAGGTTAAAATTCTAGAGACTTAGAATTGACTGTAATTACTGTTGTGCTCAAAAGTCTGGTATTTATTCCCAAGATAAACAAATTGTTTCAGATTCACTAGGTCACCTGATAAAGGTAATAGTCCTGCCACGATTCTGAATTGACAGACAGAGAGTAACATGCCAAGTGAGAGCTACAGTTCTGTGAGTTCTTACTATAGGAGCCATGATAAAAATCTAACCTGAGTTGTCCAGTTTAGGTCCTGAGTTATATTTACATGGAACTGAATGAGACTGGTTCATTATGTCCTGAGTTCAGGATAGTCTCCTAAAGAGAATGTGGAGGGACATGCAAGCACAGGACCTAGAATTGACTTTGTTCTTTATCATTACTGTTGAGTTTGTGTAAGGGTTTTGTTGTTGTTGTTGTTATTGTTGGTCCCTACCTGTGCTTTCAACAGTATAAGGAATTCCCAGTGTGGAAACTCCCTCTACCAATGCAAATCGCAACTATTCCCCAACATAAAGACTTAGAAAATTGCAGGTAGCATTGCAAGGTTAATTGACTTGACTATGATCACACAGGTGGTATGAGTCAATCAAAATCAATCAATAAACATTTATTAAGTACTTAAGTGTCAGGCACTATGCTAAGTGCTGGGGATACAAAAAGAGGCAAAAGACAATCCCTGCCCTCAAGGAGCTTGCAATTTAATGAGCAAGACAACATGCAAACAAATCAATACAAAGCAAGCTATAAGACAGGATAAATAGGAAGTAATTAGCAAAAGGAAGGCACTGGAATCGAAAGGGTTGGATAAGGCTCCTTGTAGGAGGTGGGATTTTAATTGGGACTTAAAGGAAGTGAGGGAGGTCAATGGTCAGGGTAGAGGAGGGAGAGCATTCCAGATATGGGGGATAGCCAGAGAAAATGAGAGGAACATGATTGGACCTGTGTTTTAGGAAAATCACTTTAGTGGGTGAATGGAGAATGGATTGGAGTGGAAAGAAATATGAGTCAGACAGAGGGCGGAGCCAAGATGGCAGAGTCAAGATGGCAGAATAAAAGCAGTGACTTGCTTTAGCTCTCTTTCAAACCCCTCCAAATACCTATAAAAATGGCTCTAAACAAATTCTAGAACAGCAGAACCCACAAAAAGACAGAGTGAAACAAATTTCCAGCCCAAAGCAACCTGGATGGTTGATTGGAAAGGTCTATTGAGCTGGGCTGGGACAGAAGCACAGTTCAGCATGGGTGCACAGGCCTTTAAAGACCAGGCCTCAGCAAACCTGCAGCAGGCCTGAGGGGACTGAATCAAGGGGAGCTGTGGTAGTTTCCAGACTCCTCAACCCACAAACACCAAAGACAACTTAGAAAGTCAGTAGGAGGGGCAGCTAGGTGTCTCAGTGGATAGAGCATCAGCCCTGAAGTCAAGAAGACCTAGGTTCAAATCTGGCCTCAGACCAAACACCTGACACTTACTAGCTGTGTGACCCTGGGCAAGTCACTTAACACCAATTGCCTAAAAAAAAAAAATACTTTCCTACTTTTCCAGTAGGAAAGATCCGTGACTGAGGTGAGGGAGGAGCTGGGTCCCACCCCAGTCCCAGCACGGGCCCAGGGCAGTGGCTGCTTCCTGAGCTCTTAGCCCACAGGTGGTGGGGGGATCAAGTAGCTGATCAGATGGGGATTGCAGGGATCTCTTTGCTGGTGCTAAGGCAGGAATCTCTTGCTTTGCCTGTGCTTGGATCTGGATCCCAGTCCTAGGTGGGGGTACTGAGGAGAGGAGGAGCACTGGCATGGAGGAGCTTGTGGTGGCATGGAGAAGGAAACCTCCTCCCATTTCCAAGGCAGCAAAGAGTGCTTGTGATCACTCATAGACCAGAGCACAGGCCAGGAAAGGAGTAAACACCTTGCCTTTGATCATACCACCTTGGAAGAACTGAAAATTTACAGGTCCCTAGAAGTATCTCTGAAAATAGCTTCACAAAACCCCCAAAGCTTGGGATAGTACATTCTCCACACTGGAAGCAGACTCCTACCTTAACAAAGAGTTTAAAAGTCAAATAGTTGGCTGGGATCATGAGCAGGCAGCACAAAAAAAAGTCAGACCATAGAATCTTACTTTGGTGACAAAGAGGATCAAAACATACAACCAGAAGAAGACAACAAAGTCAAAGCTCCTACATCCAAAGCCTCCAAGAAAAATATGAATCAGTTCCAGGCCATGGAAGAGCTCAAAAAGGATTTTGAGAAGCAAGTAAGAGAAGTAGAGGAAAAACTGGGAAGAGAAATGAGAATGATGCAAGAAAATCATGAAAAATAAGTCAACAGTTTGCTAAAGGAGACCCCAAAAAATACTGAAGAAAATAACACTTAG